TGATGAAGCAAACGTATATTTTCTATAACAATCGACTATGTTACTTATATTCGTATGATAGTAGGGTCTCGAGACTACCAGTAAATTATGATAACGACTATGGTACAAGACTTCAGACTGGGTGCGTTCTACTAAGTCGCCCTGACAACAATACCAATTTGCGAAAACGAGGTCAACTCACTTCTATAAATCTAACGGAGACTGAGACCCTACCATCTTGGTCTTCATATCCTCGAGTCAACTACACTATTTCTCTTTCGTTAGTTAGTAGGCTTTCGAGACTATCAGTATATCAGTTGGATGGGATAAGGTGAACACAGCTTATATAACCTTGTGCTGGTTTGTGTGTTCGTGTGCGTGAGCGTGTGTGTGTGTGTGTGATTGTATGTATGTATGTATGTTGGGTAAAGGGAGCCCCAAATCTCCGTATATTCTCGCAAATAAGGCTTGACGGAAGAAAGATTTAGTCTCTCTTAATGCACTGTTCCGACATAACATGTCCTGAGTAGTTGGCCGAATTTCATCGACAACCGCCGGCAGGAAGGTCCGATAAAAAAGAAGCCGCTTAATCTGAACGATTTGTCGGTGCGTCCGTCGCACATGTTTGCCCGAGTTGTGTCCCGCCTCGTCGAGCATGATGACTCTCGCAAAGACCAGGTCATCGTCCCTATCCAAAGTCATCACGAAGTCCGTCCTCCTCTCGACTTTACGTCGTGCCCGCCTCGAGACCAGAGGACCGGCAGACCGGCAGACCGGCAGACTGAGTCTGGGGACCGGGGACTGTCGACTCGAGCAAGCGGCAATAAAAGAGAGGGGGCAAAGGTGCCGAGGGTACCATCGTGTCCGGCCGACGGCAGGAGGGGAACCCGCCTCGGGTGCTCGTAGAAGAGGCCTCGTCCGGCCGTCTGCAGACAGGAGCTGTGAGGCGCGGGAAGACCGTCCGAGTGGAGGAGGCCGCGGGGCCCCGACGTCGGAGGCGGGACGGGCATCGAAGCCGACGAACCAGCGTCGCACGGACTCGCCGGACACGCAGTCATCGCGTCTGGACAGGCCGAGCCGAGGGCCCGAAGTGGCCGAAGAGAACGAATGGGCTGAAAGGGCTGCAGAGGCTGACGTGATTGGAGGACAAGACGCAGGAAGGAGAGGTCGTGCAATAAAATGTATTTTCGTATTTTTTTATTTTTCGTATTTTTTTATTTTTCGTATGTAAGTAGCGATTCGAGGTGACCAGTAAATCAGTAGTATGAGATGTATTCACCCTAATTCGTTAAGAAAGACTAGTTGAATATGCCCACTGCAGTCCACTCGGGATAAGAACAACTTTTGGGAAAGCAAAGCTGTGTGAAATTGAATGGAAACATCAGCTCTACTCATCA